GGTGCGAAAGGCCCTAATATGAGCAGGTCAAACTAAGCTCAAAAGCTTCGGCAGCTCTTAATCAGAAAGCAATGTTAAAAAGGGGGTTACTAGAGTAAAACGAGTGAACTGACCTTCTTGTATGCCATCTCGAAGAGTTTGAGCGAGGCCTGCTGCAGGTTTGTGGCCGCTTGTTTGATGTTTTCTCCCGTCTCGGCGTCCTTTCGTGAGAGCAGCTCTCGCACTTTAGCCATCTCCTCCTTCAGTTTGTTACACTGCAGAGAGAGATTACAAACATTCACACTCTAAAACACCTCTAAAACACCGGCGTTTGAGCTCCTCAGACAGCAGTCAGACCTCATCGGCAGGCAGCTGATCCTTAAACTCCTCCATCTTTGACTCGGTGTCGTGAACGATGCCCTCGGCCATGTTAACCGCTTCCACGCAATCCTTTAAACCAAGATCAATCAGTTCAGACACTGCAACAGGTTTTAAGGTGCGACAAATAAGACCACGTCTAATGTGGTTTCAAATAGTGACATCGCATATTAGCAGAACTGTGATTGTGAATCATTTGTGACCCTGGAGCACAAAACCAGTCTTAAGCGTCAATTTTTCAAAATTGAGGTTTGCACGTCATCTGAAAGCTGAATAAATAAGCTTTCCATTAATGTATGGTTTGATAGGATAGGACAAGATACAACTATTTGGACGAGATACAACTATTTGAAAATCTGGAATCTGAGGGTGTAAAAAAATCTACAGACATGAATCGAGACGCTACCTTCCGTCTCCGGTCCTCCTCTGCGTACTTCTCAGCGTTCTTGATCATGTTTTCAATGTCGTCTTTGCTGAGTCCACCAGACGACTGGATGACAACTGAACGAAACATGCATAAATGTTTTTTTTTCATAAAGACAACTTAAATGCAACATTTTTGGGACTGTAAAAGTGGACATTGCATACTAGAGAGGAGTCGAGCTGAATGCGAGGTTGCAGTGGACATGTTTGAAAATCTTTCAAAGATGTTGTAATTTGCAGTCATATTGCATTACTGCGGTCACTACACAACAGTGGCCTAAAGCAATGACTAAACCATCTTTTCTTGGAGAACTAGTTCACATTACCCCTCATAACACAGGTCAAAGTCATTTCTGAAGTTAAATTTTAGTGAAAGATTAAAAAAAAAAAAAAAGTGTGGAGTTCCTTTGGGAACAACATGCATCATTGATTTTGACTGATTTTTGTCTCACTCTGCTGTTCTCGGCCGGTGCCCTTGTCTTTAGCGGAGACGTGCACGATCCCGTTAGCGTCGATATCAAAGGTGACTTCAATCTGAGGAACACCACGAGGAGCCGGAGGCATGCCGACCTGTTCAGCACATAAACACAACATCTGAGCCATGACCGGATTACCGTTTATGGTCTTCTCTAGCATGCTTCCTAATCTAGATGTCTAATAAACCTAGCACTGCGTATTATGAGTGTTGCTGGCTCTTTGTGCCTCTTCTGTAAGTCTGGATAAAAACGTCTGCTAAATGCATACATGTAAAGGTGCATGTGAATGTTTTGTACCAGGGTGAACTGTCCCAGAGTCTTGTTGTCTGCAGCCATCTCTCGCTCTCCCTGACAAACCTTGATCTCTACTTGAGTCTGTCCATCAGCAGCAGTGGAGAAAACCTGAGAAGCACATCAACATCAACCAAAGTTCATATCAGTGCATATGGACACATTAGAGCAGAGCAACACCGCTTCGAAAAAATGACAAAACATGTTTATCAACATATGTGACCCTGGAGCACAAAACCAGTCATAAGTGTAAATTTTTCAAAATTGAGATTTATGCATCATCTGAAAGCTGAATAAATAATATTTTATTGGGTCATTGATATGCACCAATATTGTTATATTAAACAGCATTTTTTTACCTACATAGGTTTATTAAAGTGATATCACCTACAATTAAATCATTTAGGCTACTATGTTCAAAGAATGCGTTTCAAATATGAAACAGTTTTGTGAGTTTGATATGACATAAGGGTGTCTTCAAAAAGATTCATAAGAGAAGAGGCTGTTTTTCTGTTAATTAAATCTGTGTATAATCACATACTAACACTGATCAATGCACATACATAAAGCACATGAATTATGGTCGACAGAAGCTCACAGGTGCCTGCTTAGTGCAGAGGAACCAATAAGGTTTGTTTTCATGTACCAAACAAGTTCAGTCAATCTGTTGACCATATGTGAAGAGATCCATTTATGTGTGTTGATCAACACTTATATGTGAATAAAGCCATATATTAAATCTGTTCATCATATAAAATGATCATGTCGCTTCAGAAGATTTGATTTAAACCGCTTGATGCATATGAATCATGTTTACGATGTCTTTATTAACTTTCTGAAGCATCAAAGTTAGGGTGAAACAGACAGAAGTCTCTCAGGGTTTCAAATAAGGTGTGAACTAACCCTTAAAAAATAAAGATAAACTGTTGATTCAGAGATCGAAGATGACAGTGATACTGAAAGCCATGTCTGATAGTGAAGCTTAATTCAGCCACGATGCAAGGAGGAAGACAAGGTTTGAGCACGAAGAGCTTCAGAAGCTTACCTGGCTCTTCTTGGTGGGGATGGTTGTGTTTCTGTTGATGAGTTTGGTGAAGACTCCTCCCAGAGTCTCGATGCCGAGAGACAGAGGAGTGACGTCCAGCAGCAGCACGTCGGTCACGTCTCCGGCCAGAACGCCTCCCTGGATGGCCGCTCCGATGGCCACGGCTTCATCTGGGTTCACAGACTTACTGGGAGCGCGACCGAACAGATCCTGGACCGTCTGCTGGACCTGAGGACGCACACGTGCAGGAATCAAGACGCTTCAGGACAGTAGACGGATCGGGCCTCTGCCGTGTCCTCACGAAAGTTAATCATTTGCACGTGTTTTTAAAGCTTTGTCAATTTAAAAGCATGAAAAGCACACAAAGCGCAAGAGACAAGAGAACTCCATTCAGCACTCGCGTTCTTCTTGCACTATAACGGACAAACACACCTTGCCAATTTGAACATTAAAGCGATTAACACATTCAAGCACAAGATGTGAATAACTTAGTCACTCAGTGTGTTCTGTGTGCACAGCGCAAGCCCCGTATGGAGTGACAGACAAATACATACAATATATTAGACCCATAAATTGTGTTTAAAGTGACCGCGCCTAATTTATCAGCTGCTGTTGGTGTCCTTATAAAGCAATAAGCCGTGGTTTACTGTGAATTTATAACAGCTAAGGGGCGAAGCGGAGTGCCTAAAACCCCCTTAGTTAACAATGAGCTTAATGATTAATCTATATATTTAATTTATACAGTTATTTTACATTTAAGTATTCAACTTCTGTACTTCTAAAAATCTCAAGCATCTTTAATTTGTATCACTGTTGTGTTTATTTGTGCTGTTGCTTGTAATCTGTTCATTTGTTCTTATTTACTGACCGTTCATGTCTTTAATAAGGTTTGAACTTTATATTTGCCAGGCTAGCATTTCTTGCTGTGGTATTGAAATTGGAATGGAGAATTGTAAAATTTCGGTGTCATATAAGCTTATTTATTAGAACAAAAGATAACATGGGTCAAAAACAATGATACCATTTTTTGTGGCATGGCCAGTGAAAATATTGACAAGGCAAGTAAAAAATTGAACCACTGGCCCGACTGGACCAGTAGAAAAAATCCTTAGAGAGTCTTTCGGTTACCTTCGGCATGCGGCTCATTCCTCCCACCAGCAGCACTTCTCCAATGTCACTCTTGGAGACCTCTGCGTCCTGCATGGCCTTCTGACAGGGCGCCACGGTCCTGCGGATCAGATCCGCCACGATGCCCTCGAACTGAGCGCGGGTCAGCTTCATGTTCAGGTGTTTGGGGCCAGAGGCGTCCATCGTCAGGTACGGCAGGTTGATGTCCGTCTGTGTGCAGAGATATTACGATACGGTTTCTTAAACTCACCAACATCCACACTCTAAACCAGCAATAACCACTGCATCCTGAAATATCAAAAACCTGACAAACATACTCATCATAACATGCTGGTATTATATATATATATATATATATATTAGGGGTGTGCGATATTGACAAAAAAAATGTATGTGTTATTGTGCTGGTATCTTAAGGACTGCCGTGGACAGCTGACTTGATATTCTTCATATTCTGTGTGGTGGTCAGTTCACACTGAGAGAAATTAATCTTTTCCAATAAGTTTAAACTTTAAATTTTATGGGCATATTTACCTTTATAAAGCCATTTTTGTCTAAAAGTGTCCCATTATCTTTTGAGTGAAATTCTTACATTTAATCAGTGAAATAGAATAATAAGACATTTGGGCTGTTACCAAGCAAATTAAATCAACACAGAAGCTGCATCTGAAGTGGCATTTAGATGTATTTACACACTGTTTAATGCAGGACATGAATGCATTTAACCTGCAGTTACAAATGCATAAATAATGTTTTGATATATTAAACATAAAATGTTGAATACTGATATTTGAAATTATTTAAACAAAACGATACTTTAAATGTGAAATTAAAACCGCCAGTAGGTGGCAGCAAGTCACTGTTAATAAGCGAGTCATTGCGATTGAACCGAATCATTTAAACAGTTGATTCATTCAGGAACGAATCACCGTCATGTTGCTCAGAGACGCAAAACTGTGCTGTGGCTGTTTGGAATTATTTTTGTTGGAGAAATAGAGCAAAAACAGGCAATATGATGTCTAAAACGTAAGTCTCTTAAACTTCTTGTTTATTGAACTGTTGTAAAAAAAATCCATATAATTTGTAATCATGGTAATATTTGGAGACAAACGGCACTGAATAACTATATGAAGTGGCATAAATATATATTTTCTGCCCCCATTTGTGATCATTCTAAATGTATTTTATTTTAATAGACTGAATCATGCAGTGAAAGAACGCACCGTAAACGCGCACAAGTCTAGACTTCACGTAATGTATACGCGCGCTCTGTAGAGGTGTTTTGAATGGTTTTTGCAAAATATTCGAGGTTTTTCACCATCCCACTGCAACTCGTGTTTTTAAATGAAAAATGTACTCTGTGTGATTGGCTTTCCGCCCTTTGTATTAAACTATGCATACATACATGATGCCGTTTTGTTTATAGTTGTTTAAGCAACTTAATTATAATTGGTTTATAAACATTATTTTAAACATTATGCCCTTTTTTTCCGCAGATAGTCATGTTATCATATGCTTTGAATGATGCGCCCTCTTGTGGCCTCAGGAGAGAAGCCAAAAGCTTTTCTTCACCCTAACTGAAATTATGCATTTTAAATTTGAATATAATTCGAATTTTGATAATATTTAAGTACAAAATTCGAATTTAGTTTTTCAGCCATTTTGACAGCCCTAATTTGATCTCATGCGGTTCACAATGATCTCCGATAGTAACAACACAACTGTTAAATGTAACTTTAGTATTTTACAGAATGTAAATGGTCTGAAATTGTACATGTTGATGAAGCATATTGACTTGAGCCTTTACTATTAAACATCAATGATGGTTAGCGGCTGATCTTAGTGTTCAAATATATCAGTGATCGCTACTGGACTCAAATTTGCTGATCGGTGAAGCAACACTAATAAAGACACACACACACACACATACACGTTTGTTTTTTTTGGGAGGACGGACACAAACCTCTCTCTTGAACTCCTTCACTATATGTCTGAGGAGATGCTGGTCGAAATCTTCTCCGCCCAAGAACGTGTCTCCATTGGTGGATTTCACCTCGAAAACTCCCTTCTGGATCTCCAGGACAGAGATATCGAACGTCCCACCACCGAGATCATACACAGCGATTCTGGGAAGACCACAGTGAAGTCAAAGCACACAGGAAGTAGATTCATGTCAAACAATATTCAATAAGACTTCATACAGACTTTTTAGTTGATTTCATTGCATTTTTTTTTTACTAAATGCACACCATTTGACAGGTCAGTCATGACCAACTAGAACGTTTTAAAGACAGGGCTCCTAAATGGCTGCATTCTGCAAACTTTTTTCCAGTGCGTGACAATTTTGTTAGAGGCTGCACTGCTTCCGCTACAAATTTGTCCAACTGATTTGGATTTATGAATTCACTGTAATAACACTAATGGCAACTATGGTAGTGTCATAAATGTGGGACTCAAACCAATCAGAATAAATTTTACCCTATTAAAAAAAATGACGTTGTTACAGTTTTTCCCTATGTTTTTGTTCATGTAAATAATTTTATATCCACATCCCAACTCAAGCTACTGTCCAAACATCTTTTAATATTTATCTTATATCTATGTTCTAACATAAACATCATGTCAATACATCCAACAGTAAGCATTTCTGGGTGAATTGGTTTAATGGTCACTGACACAGCAGGCTGCAGTTATCAGTCCTGAACATGACAAAGTGATATCGAGCAATAAAGAATAAAGACATGACAAAATGTAGAATGAGTATTAGGGCTGGGTTTTGACACAAATTTCACAATTCGATTATCCTTCACAAGCTTGTGATTCGATTCAATATGGATTATTTTGGATATATATATATATATATATCTCTATCAGGTACAGGACATGGCAAGTTTTCTCAAGGAAAAAAAAAATCTCTCAACTAATGCTGTAAAATATACCTGAGAGTCAATCATATTTTTGGAAGGTTGAAATTTGCTGATTTGTACACAAACACTTAAAATATACTCAAAGGTTTTGTAATATTAAAGTTATAATACTAACTTTAAATTGCATAATTATATTTCTACTCAAATTCGTTTTTTTGAAATGTAAACATTTAAATGGTGGCTGTCACAAAAACTTAGCAGATTTATTCAAACAAACTATATATATATTGAAGAACCGTAAAAAATGATAATGAATATGTTATACGGTGCATATTTAGCAAAAAGCTCCTCTCTAGAGTTAATTGAAAACGTGACAATGTTTACAAGCGATTGTCATCTTTCCGCATTTTAAAAACACTGATTGAGCAATAACATGAGACAGGAGACGGGTTTAACACCTTCGGATGTTCATTCATGTTTATTTCATGCTGTCACTGCTGTTAAAGCAGAGGAGACGATCAGTTCACAGCGATCTGTCACTCCACATGAAACAGCACCAAAATGCCATTTAATATTTGAATATTGCAATAAAATGGACAGAATTTGAAATTTGAGACTTTGTTTCATATCAAAAGTAACACTTTATTGGATGGGAGCCACGCTACAATGTTCCGTTCATTATCTGACAGGCGAGACGAATCGATTCTTGAGATTTATGAATCGATATGGTTTCATAAAAATGAGAATCGATTAAAATCGAGAAATCGATATTTCTTTTACCCAGCCATACTAGTATCTAATACTCACATTTTGTCCTGAGTCTTTTCCAGTCCGTAGGCTAAAGCAGCAGCCGTCGGCTCGTTAATAACACGAAGCACATTCAAACCAGCAATCTGCCCGGCGTCCTTGGTTGCCTATAAACACACCAGATATTAAAGACAGTCAATTATAAACAGATATTAAAGATAGATCCCTCAAAGCTGGTTCACAATGTTCTCAACATGAGCGAATAATGAGACCTGTCAGATGCACAGAGTTGGGTTAATCTAGTAGGAGGAGAAATCTGTCACACACCTGTCTCTGAGAGTCGTTGAAGTAAGCAGGTACTGTAATAACAGCGTTCTTCACCGCATGACCCAGGTAGTTCTCTGAAAACAGACAAGCAGTGGTTTGATGGAGCTTATGATCATGTGTAGGGGTGGCGATACACCGGTTAACCTGGTAGAGATCAGGGGTGGGAGGAAAAAAAAATCGATTCTCCGATGCATCGCGATTCTGAGCTTGTTTTTTTTTCCCCCGCAAATGGCACGTGTGCGTGCTAGAGATGCGGCGGGCTTCATTGCACAGAATTTGCACTTTGAGACACGTGCGCATTGCTTGACAGTGTGTGCTTCCACCCGCCGTGTTTTACTTTAGATATGCATTCATGCCATTTGGAATGCAGTACTATTAGATGCACGAAACTCGCGCACTGACAGACTTTCACTTGCGCTTTGTGTTTGTTGTCCTGAAGCTCGATCGCGGCTGCGGTTAAATGCACTTGCATCTCCGAATACTTTTCCCAGGTAGTTCTCTGAAAACAGACAAGCAGTGGTTTGATGGAGCTTATGATCATATGTAGGGGTGGCGATACACCGGTTAACCTGGTAGAGATCAGGGGTGGGAGGAAAAAAAAAATCGATTCTCCGATGCATCGCGATTCTGAGCTTGTTTTTTTTTCCCCCGCAAATGGCACGTGTGCGTGCTAGAGATGCGGCGGGCTTCATTGCACAGAATTTGCACTTTGAGACACGTGCGCATTGCTTGACAGTGTGTGCTTCCACCCGCCGTGTTTTACTTTAGATATGCATTCATGCCATTTGGAATGCAGTACTATTAGATGCACGAAACTCGCGCACTGACAGACTTTCACGTGCGCTTTGTGTTTGTTGTCCTGAAACTGCGGTTAAATGCACTTGCATATACTTTTATATGAAATTGATGTGTAAACAGTCAGTTATGTTTTCAGAGCAGGACAGAACACCTGATATATCGAAATAGATCTGTGCATTAGTGTAAATGCAGCCTGTTAAAGCTGCCGCGGTCTATGATCTCAATCAAATGGCAATAATGCGGAGGAAAAAAGAAAACCCCATAACTAGCCAGTTGTCTGTAAACTTTCGGATATTTAAAGAACACTTATTTTAAATAAGTAATTGTTTTAAAAAGTAGTCTGCTTATATAATAAAAACAAAAAGTAAATTTTGCACAAATTAAATTTTATATAAAATTTCTATGAAAATGTAGCCATGTGCAGTGATATTGAAAATGTGACGCATGGTGATATTGAGTTGATAATGATAATCGTAATTGAATTGAATTGTGAAACCAGTGAAGATTCACAGCCCTATTTTTAAAATGGCAGTACTGACTTAAAGAGATTCCAACTATAAACAAAAAGCATAGAAACTGCAATTTTGGTTCAAATGTAAAGTTGTAAAATTCTGCACAGCAGAAGAATTAATTAGGAAAAAATGTAGATCAAGAATTGTTTTGGAATCGGATCGTGAAGTGCCTAAAGATTCCCACCTCTAGTAGAGATTGTGGACTACTGTCTCTGTCGCTGTTACACACTCACGTGACGTTGCTGTGCTAACAGGGCTCTACGCTTATTTTTTTTTTTAGGAGCACTTGTGCTCCTAACTTAAAAAATTTAGGAGCACAGTCAAAAATTTAGGAGCACCTTCTAATCAATAATCCAAAATTTGATCAAAAATTAGCCTTCCCATTACGCAATGCAATCAGCAGTGAAAGAGAACTGTGCAGGAGAGTTGAACAGTTATTTTTGCCACTTTATATGCCTAGAACAGTTAAATACACACACTTGCATGTGTCAAAATTCGTAAAAACAGTAATTTCGGTCTTAAGTGAAAGCAAACAGCCGAGAAAGAGAACACATGTGTAACAGTATAATGGATCCGTGCAGCTCTTAAAGTGACAGTAGTCTAATATTCCTGCTGTCTGTCATTCATGTTAATCAAACAACAAAGGAGAAAATCTCTCGCTGCTCTCGACTAAATCACTTTTGTAACTTTAATAAGAATATGCAGTGTTTTTACTCATTTGATTACTTTATACAATGTATGTAGCATTTCTTATTCATTTGTTCTAATGTAGTTTTTTGTTCTATTGCTTGTAATTAGTTTCTTATTTAAATCGCTGTTTACTTGTCTTCAGTGAGCTTGAGTTTTGTTTTTAAGGCTAGTATTAGTTTTTTGTGATACTGACACTGATGACAAGAATTATGACTAGGGCTGGACAATAATTCAATATCAATATGTATCACAATATAATTTTTTTCAATAACGGTGATATGATTTTTAAACACATTTCCGATATTTCGATATACATTACCAGTTTCCCATACATTGATTTATTTGTGCCGTTTGACTTCGTTGAATAAACATGAGCACTGCACGTTTCAAAATCATAACACGGCGCGGGTGTTTTATATGAATGTATCTCTGAAGAGAACTGACTGTCTTCAGAAAAGTTTCGATGGCATTTTCATTTCATTTTTGGCCTTTTTTCTGGCTGAAGCACATTTGTTTCAATCTATAAGAATAATCAGCCTACACTAC